CATCCATCCATCCATCCATCCATCCATCCATCCATCCATCCATCCATCCATCCATCCATCCATCCATCCATCTTCTGTCACACTTATCCAAAGCAGGGTCACGAGGGGTGCCAATCTCCAGCTATCTCCAAGAATACACCCTGGACATGTCACCTGTCCACAAGTTAGTCATTAGATTTGGAATTTAGATATTCAGCGTCCCCACAAAGAGCTGATGTCTTAACAATCCAATCTGAATCTCAAAGTATATGTGAAAGATGTAGAAATAGCAGATATATTCGAATATTAGCGTTCTGGCTTAGTGTAAATCTTGCATGGAAAATAGATTTTAAATATTTTGAGATGCCTGTGTGGCAGAGAATAGTGTTGACCGAAAGATTTTAAAAACTGTTTACGTTGGACTAATGTAGAAGGTTCTTGGTTCCTTTTGTGAAGCTATGGAAATGGTAAATTGAGATGGGTTAAATGCCACTTGAGCTTAGAAGATCACATCTTGCCATAATTTATATGATGTAAGGGTTTCTTTGAAATTCCAGTGTTCACCTTTCTATAAGAGAAACCACAGACGTCGGAGGGAAACCCGAGGCGCTCCCAGGCCAGCTGAGAGACACAGTCCCTCCAGTGTGTCCTGGGTCATCCTCTACGCCTCCTCGCGGTGGGACATTCCTGGAACACCTTTAAAGGGAGCCATCCAGGGGGCATCCCAAAAACATGTGCACCTCAGCTGAGGCCTCTGGATGTGGAGAAGCAGCTCTACTCTAACGCCTCTCCTGGATGGCCGAGCTCCCCACCCTTCTCCAAGGGAGTGCCCAGGTACCCTGCAGAGATAGCTAATTTCTGCTGCTTGTATTTGGGAGCTTGTTTTTTTGTGTGTGGTCGTGATCCAGATGTCGTGACAATTGGTGAGGGTAAGAATGTAGACTGACTGGTAATTTGAAAGCTTTGCCTTTTTCCTCAACTCTCTCTTCAGCTCAACAGACAGCTGGAGTGTTTGCATTATAGCAGCAGCTGCACCGATCTGTTTATAAGTCTCCCTCACTCGTCAACAGGACCACATGATAAATGAACTCTGCTACTTGAGACAGGAACTATTCAACCTGAAGGGGACAAGCCACCTTTTCCTGCTTTTGCTGTAGGTCTTGATGGGAAGGAGCCAGCAGAGCAACATCCACAGAAAGCAGGGATGAGATCCACTGATTCCCAAACTGGATATCCTCCAGCCCTTGGTTGCTTCTAGAAACCATAACCATAAAGGTTATGAACAGGGCAAAGAAAAACAAACAAATAAAGGAAAAAATATTTTTATTTCAATCCACACAGTAAAAAAACAAAATTACAAATCTAACACATACAGACATTATGATTAATGATATAATAAAAATCATCTATGTTATTCAGTGAATATATCTGACAAGGTGTATGAATAAACATTCATGTTCCAGTCTATATAGGTTTAGAAAATCTATAAGTATCTTGCTCAGGGATCCAGAGACAATCTGATATCTATGGAAGTAAATATGTGCCATCAGAATTTGAATAAAAAATACCTCTGAAATTTGAATGTTGTATATTAGTGCTTACTTTTTCAGTATTAAAATAAATTCAGAATATATTTTTAACCTAAAAAAATTCAATGTCATTATTTGTACATTAAAAAAAATTCAGTGTAATTTTTTTTACATGGTTGCAATTTTCAGTTATTAAAAAAAATCACATTCCTATTTCAAAGTGATAAAATTTTCAATATACATATTTTTCACAGTTTAAATTTTCAGTGTTAAAAAATTCAGCATATAAAAAATTCAACTTTTCAAAATTCAAATGCAATATTTTCGTTGTCCTCCAATTCAACTTGCTCAAATTCACTGTCTCAAATTCAGCGTCTAAAAATTCGCTGTAAAAATGGCCAAGGTTACTTCAGATCACAGACATTAGCAATGGATGTCCGATTCCAACATCCACCTAATCACGTGACACAACCGTCATATTGAAGAAGTACCAGTATCACCCAGGCTGGCGACCATGGAGGCTAACTCAAACCCAGCGGTGAGTTTAATGCTTTCATATTTCTGTAGTATATTTTATTTTGCGCATGAAGTTTGATACATTATCTTAAAGCCTGATTTAAAACACTGGTTTGGGCCGTTGTTAATCGTACACCGTGTAGTGCCGCCGCAGTGTTGTGCCTGAACGCGTTCATTGAACGAAAGTTCATGAACTCGTTCATATTTTGGGCGAACGTGAACTGAACGTACTGCATTATTGCCTGATGAACGTTATTGTGAACTCGTTCATTCTGGTGTCTGTGAACGGCACGCTCTCTCAGTTCAACTCCGTTCAATAGGTTGCCAGATTTCTATAAAGCCCTCCAGGCGAAACCCCGGCTAAATCCAATCTGGCAACACCAGCTACCAGTGTCGTAGCCTACAGCCGCGTGCGTCATCAAAACAAAATGCAGCGTGGAAGCAACAGCAGCATGGAGGCGACTTAAAACAGCTTTATGACCAGGTGGTCGGTGAGGATGATGGCAACAAGTTTGCCCGCCGGCTTTCAGTAAAAAAATCCGCACTGCAGTAACCTTAAATTCCTCCCTCAGCCTGGTCCCTCAGTTTGTGTTAGTAAAATCTTCTTGAGCGGAGGTCTTCAACAGGGGATCCGAGACCCCTAGAGGGTCTACGGAGGTACTGCATGAGGGTCTGCATGGTTAGTTGATATTTTTATATTCCCCCCCTGCATTTTCCCCCCCCACTAATTGAAATGTCTTTAAATACTCATTAACATGAAATCAACACACTGTAGTAAACAGATAAATGGAGGCAGAAGATGTCTTTCAGTCATCAATGCACACATTCAGCGACACACAGGAGCTCTTTCAAGCTGGGCACCGTTTCCTTCACAACAACCAGGAATCAGAATCAGAAAAACTTTAATAATCCCAGGGAGAAATTAATTTCTTTACATTACTCCATCTGTAATAGAGTGACTATAGGACACAATTTCATGCAATATATATAAATAGGGGGTCCCCGCTCCATCTCGCCATCAGTTTGGGGGTCCTTGGTCTGGAAAACATAGAAGACCCCTGTTCTTGAGGGTTTTACTATCCATGTAACTTGTTTGTTAAACCTGCCTGGTATAATTTTCCAGGATTCCTTTTTAGTATGTATTGAAATGGAATTTCAAATGGAAAAAATTATTAAAATAAAAAAAAACATTTGCACCTTAAAGACTACTTTCCTATTTTTCTTTTAATAATTACTCATAAAAAAGACCATTCAAGCAGCACATTTTTCCTGATGTTTTTGAGAATATACTGTAGGGGTGAAAGCTGCAGCTGCTACTAGTTCGAAGTGAATGGACAGCAACAAAGCATTAAAGCAACAATGGGGAAATCTGTCCCCTCAATGCTAATGTAAACCCTGGTTGGATAAGGATTCAAAACTGGATATGAAGATGAAATCTGACGCACAGTTTCAGTGTTACAACTGATAAAATAATTGCCGTCTGTGGTTCTACAGTAGGCTATGGTGTAATTGAGCAATATATGAAAAAAAAAAAAAAAAAAGAACTATGAACTAGTTCGTTTTTTGGAATTGTGAACTATGAACTGAACTAGTTCATTTTAAAATGTGTGAACTGAACTTTGAACTAGTTCACGTAGAAAGAGAACTTTCCCAACACTGAGTGCCGGCATATTACTTCTCGCTACCTCCGAGCACCCCCCCCCCCCAATTTCCCCCGTTTTATTTCAAAAAGAAATACCCCTTGCGCCAAGTCTAGAATCTTTAAAGAGAACTGATGGGTGGTGACCTTCTGGGTTGTTTGTATGTTGTCTTAGGTGAGACTGAGACAGGCAGTCGATGCCTACTGTGCTCTTCTCCCATTAAAATTGTAGAAACTATATCAAGCACAAATAAATCTACAATTTGGTAGGTAACTGGTATTTTGAATGATGTTGTAATGACAATAAATTTCTTAATTAATTCATAAATGAAGTCACCTAACAATACAGTAGCTGATCAGAGTGGGGTCGGAACTGTTCACAGCCCCTCTTTGAAGCACACAAGGCAGCCATATTAGCTTACTACATTAGCGGTAGCATCTCCTGAAAAATTACGACTTTACTAAGACTGCCTGGAAAAGTGGTATTTCTTTTTGAAATAAAACGGGGGAAATTGGGAGGGAGGGGGGGGGGGGGTGTGCTCGGAGGTAGCGAGAAGTAATATGCCGGCACTACACGGTGTAAGATTAACAACGGCCCAAACCAGTGTTTTAAATCAGGCTTTAAGATAATGTATCAAACTTCATGCGCAAAATAAAATATACTACAGAAATATGAAAGCATTAAACTCACCGCTGGGTTTGAGTTCGCCTCCATGGTCGCCAGCCTGGGTGATACTGGTACTTCTTCAATATGACGGTTGTGTCACGTGATTAGGTGGATGTTGGAATCGGACATCCATTGCTAATGTCTGTGACCTGAAGTAACCTTGGCCATTTTTACAGCGAATTTTTAGACGCTGAATTTGAGACAGTGAATTTGAGCAAGTTGAATTGGAGGACAACGAAAATATTGCATTTGAATTTTGAAAAGTTGAATTTTTTATATGCTGAATTTTTTAACACTGAAAATTTAAACTGTGAAAAATATGTATATTGAAAATTTTATCACTTTGAAATAGGAATGTGAATTTTTTTAATAACTGAAAATTGCAACCATGTAAAAAAAAATTACACTGAATTTTTTTTTAATGTACAAATAATGACATTGAATTTTTTTTAGGTTAAAAATATATTCTGAATTTATTTTAATACTGAAAAAGTAAGCACTAATATACAACATTCAAATTTCAGAGGTATTTTTTATTCAAATTCTGATGGCACATATTTACTTCCATAGATATCTGCATTAATAATCTGTAATCTCTCCAGGATGCAAATTCTCTCCATTTTAACCACTAGGCCTAGTCTAGTGGTTAGAGAGCCTAGTCTGGTCTGTTCCAGCACACCTGGTTTAAATAAGAGCTCATCCTCTGCAATGCTGCAAAGCCTGCTAAACCTGCTTGGTGTGATGCAACAAGGAAACAGGCTCCCTGAGAAACAGGGTTGGGAACCACTGGCCTAGTCTAACATCTAACAACTCTTGTAAATGAGATGTTAGACTAATAATATTCTTTACCTATTCACCCCACTTAAAAGATTAAACTCACTTTCCCTGAGAACCAATAGCAGTTAGCTTAACTGCTTAACAGATCTTTAGAATTTGTGATCTCTTTTTCTGTAAAAAATATACAATATATACAATAGTTGTAGTGATATCCAATGGGGTGGATTACTCCTGTTTACAACAATCGATCACTAATGACTCAAACTCTGAAAAGGTTTCCAAAAAGCCACCCATTCATAACTTGTTTAGTTAAGTTTCAGAGTTTCATGAAATCTCTTGAGGAGTTGATCATCCTCTTTGGGCAGCTGCTCTACAACTTGACGGACTCCTCTCTCTAAGGCATGGTAGTAACGCTCCAACTCCTTAAGCTCAGACTGCATCCGCTTCTCTACCTTCTCTTTGTCCTCTTTAGCTTCTCTTAGCTGCTCTTCATACTCTGCCTTCATAGCTGTTGTTTCCTCCTTAAGTTTTTCCTCATATAAACGTTTGAGTTCAGCCTCCCTCTCATCCAGCATTGTCACTGCCTTCTCATATGTATCATTAGAATAAAACTGACCTCCTGTATCCTTCACCATCTCCTCAACCTTCTCTAGCAGACTAAGAACTTGTCTACGGTCATGAGCTCTGAGGTTATTGAACACATGGTATCGATTTCCAGCCTTCTCCAAGATCTCCTTCAAATCTGGTCCAGCCTCCTTCAACATCTCATCAAAGTCCGACTCCACCTTATCCCCATGAGTGAAGAGGATCATGGTGTACTTCCAAACTTTTTTTCCAAAAATTTTCTCCACCTTCAGCACAGCGTCTCTCTCCTCTGGTGTGAATGGTCCAACTTTGATAACCAGTAGAATGGCATGGGGGCCCGGGGTCGACATGTTGATGCATTTGGAGATTTCTCTCTTCACTGTTTCCTCAGGCTGATAGGTGTCAAAGAGGCCAGGAGTGTCAACGACTGAAACCATCCAGTTGAACACTTCCTCTCGTTGTTTGGAGCATTCAGAGGTCTCTAAGAAATAAACATTTAAATACATGTTTTACAAAGATACAGTGAGATTCAGGAAGCAAATGTAAAGGCTACATACAGTTTTGTCAATGACAGCTCTGCACTAGATTTATTTAAAAACCAACAAACTTTATTACTCTTAGATTTTTAAATGCATGCAATATTTTATTAGATATAATCTTGGAAAGTTTTTGATGTGTCTTTGTAATTCAGTTTTACCTGAGGAGTGTTTAGTGACTGCTCTGAAGGCATTTCTTCCTAAAATAGTGTTTCTAGTGGAGCTTTTTCCTGCACCAGTCTTCCCAACAATCACTAGCCTTAAGTCGGACACTGCAACATAAACGATTAGAGGGTTTTATGAAATGAGTAACATTGCTTTTACTGTTCAAGTCCTGGTTAAGAGGTAAGCAAAGAGAATGATGATGTTATGATTGACCAGATGGATTAGGATAGGTAATAGATAATGATTGAGAATGGTGGAGGCGGGCACAGGGGTGATAGACTGAATTGAGTTTTTCAGTCTGATTTTTCATTTATGCTTCATATCAGCCAATCACATGACAGCAATGTAATCAATCAAGACCAAGGATAATTTCAATGATAATATAATTAAAAATATATGCACATAAGGTTGTGGGATCAGCTAGGTTGCTGCTGCTGCTGCAAAAAAAAAAAATTTATGTAATGAGACTTGGGTTACTCAAACAATATTAGAAAACATCCATGTGCAATAAAAAAAAGAAAAACAGTTCAGGTCTATTAGGGAGAATGTGTTAACTGGTTCTGGGATATTTCTTCTAGAAAAGCAAAAAGCAGGGAAGAAAGAAAAGTCTGTACATATTTAATCAATGATTGTTCACAAAAACACGGGAAAACCAAAGGGCTACACAGTTTAGAAACTTTCAAAAAATGATTCTTGATTTTTCCTACTTCTTTAAAGACTGGTACAGCTCCTGTTTTTACCTCTTCTAACAAATGTCAGTAATCTCAGACAGGAAAACAAGTTTTGTCAGTTTGCATGTTATAACTGGTGAAGAAGGAAAGATGGTCTTGTTTTTGTTTGTGTGGGTTGAGTTCCCACCCTCAGAGAAAAAGAAGGATAAAAACATTTTGTCCACATTAAATTAAATTAAATATAGTTAATATATAAGTTATATTCTAATAGTGAATTACATTAAAATGAAATGAAATTTTCTGTTTCATGAGTGTAACTAGGAAAGGCGAACGTTTTTAAGTTGGTGCAAACATCTCAGGAATACATTTCACCATCATTTTCTGATTTGGATCTGGATTAACACATTGGCTCTGTTATAGAAGTCAGACCTGTTGGTGGTTGATCCATGCTGCCTTTTCTGCCCCGTCCTTTTTCTGCTCCTATGAGACACAAGAAAAATAATAATACATTTTGTATTTTTTTATTTGAAAGCGCCTTATCACAACACCCAAGGACACTGTACAGGCAGATAAAAACATTAAAAACAGGAAGCTAAAAAATACAAGCATAAATATTGCACAGAAAACAAAACAGCAGGAAGTAAAATAAAACCAAAGGAAGAAAAGGAAGACAACAACATTGGAGTGAAAAAAAGATATGTCAGGTATAATGAGAGGAACTCATATATTGATATAAATGTTAACCACTAACATATAATCAGGGATCAGATTTGAATAAATTAGGCAATTATTCAGTAACCAGCAGACTATGTATGTGAAAGAAGCTCATTTAAAACTGCGTAACTCCTTGAAAACGAAAAAAATGTTCACAATCTCCACACAATATCCTTGGAATCATAGGCGGATCTACTGGGGTGGCATAGGGTGGCAACTGCCACCCTAAATGACAGCCTTGCCACCCCAGCTGCCACCCCAGTTAGCTTTAGGGGTGGCGAGGCTTATAAATTATGGATCATTTGAGAATTACGACCGCTAATTTCTAATGTCGGACTGCAGTGAATGCAGCACGAGATGACGCGAGAGCGACTGAGACTGATTGTTTTGAAAACCGAATGGGGCAAAGCGAGGGAGCCAGGGGTGATGGGGAGAGGAGACACGGGATGAAACAGGTAAAAACTGATTAACTATCTATAGAGAAATGAAATCATAATGAAAGCACAATGTTGCTAGCATAGCTGCAATGCTGATTTTGAGATGATAAAAATCAGGTTGCAGAACGTTATTTCTCTATCTATGATGTTAGTTAGGCCTGACGTCTCAGGCTCATAAAGACATATTTGCGGTCAACTATGACAGAAAAGAGACGATCAAGTTTGGTTGAACTCAAATCAAAACGCAAAAAGGGATTGGATCTAAATAAAGTTGTGAAGCGTTTTGCTGAGCAACATTCAGCTGTTATAGTCATGGTAACTTTATGTTATGCTCTCTGGTGAGCCTTTACAGGGCTGTTACATTTTGTTTTGGCACCTGAGAAAATCTGATATTTCCTTTAATAAAAGCAAAAGTGTTAAAAGTTAAAATGTGATACTGGTGTAAATCCTGCTTAACATGAAGCAGTGTTGTTGTTTCTTTTTTTGTATATATAATATGAAACTATCCAGAAATGACCTGTATGAACCTACTCACAAGCAAAATGTATTTTTATGTTGCTTCTTTTCAGATTTGTGGAGATTTTGATGTAACATACAGAACCCGCCTTTTTGTTGATTTGTTGATACAGCAGTATGGAGGACCAACTCTGCCATATTAAAAAATAAATACAGAAATAAATAAATGCTTAATAAATAAATAAGCATACAATTAATTGCCACCAAAAATACAAACAACAAATAAATGTAAGTAGAAATTAAATTATACAGCTAGTCATAAAGGTATATAACTCTTTTAATTGGCTTCTTTATTTCTTTGCCTTTTTAATATTTACCTTATTTATTTTTTTGTCATTTATTATCTTCAACTTCATTTTTTCATTACTTATATTTTTAATTATTTATTTATGTGCATGTTATCATATTTTTGTCTGTTTTATTCTTCCTTTGTATTTTTTTACCCTAGTTATTTCTTCGCCGCTATTTCTTTCTGCCTGCCCTTTTAACATTTCTGCCTGCCATTATAATATAATTTCTAATTACATTTATTTGTTGATTTTATTTTTGGTGGCAATTAATGGTATGCTTATTTATTTATTGAGCATTTATTTATTTCTGTATTTATTTTTAAATATGGCAGAGTTGGTCCTCCATATACAGCTCTATCTACAGCATATTTACATGCATGAAATGTTCCTTTCATGTTGCCTTAACTGCTGTATGTCAAGTTACTGAGGAACAAATGGGGTTAATGTGTGTTCAGAGTAAACAATACATGGATGTCTGGTACCTTGTTTGGTGCCTTGACCCATTTATTTCTACTGTGTAGTTCTGCTCACTTTAGTGCAGCTCAGTCCATAGATCTCTGATGGGGAACTTTTTCTTTCTATAGTTTCTTCTTGTGCAAATGCTGCAAAGCTGCCTCTCTGACAGTCAATCTCACACATCTGCGACTCAGCACCTGTGTCCTACCTTAATACCTTTCCTGTGATAATGTCCATCTAGAAGTAGTGTTATCATTCTTCTATCTCCTATTAAGTGAGATCACATTGTACGATGTATTATTAATATGAACTGTTTCACATGAAACACTAGTAGTGTACATACTATTCTCACCAAACTGTGATAACTGTGATTAAATTCAGTGTAAACAAATACCATATGTTGCCACCCCTAAAAAATTCCTGCCCCCCTCTTGCCACCCCATAAATATTTTTCTAGATCCGCCCCTGCTTGGAATCCCTTTAGAATCTACAACAATCAGTTGTTTTCAGAATATATACATCGACACACAAAAAGACTAAAATTATGATGGAAAACAAAACTTTAAATGTCCTAATTTTAAGAAGTTACACAAACTTCTAAAACTCACCGACTTCTCCCGTCTCTGCCATTTGTTTTATGTGAGATAACTTTTAACCATTTAATTATCGCATTACTAATAATAAAAAAAGGAGCTTCAACTGACACAATATCTAACAAACTGACGTTTATGGGAGTGAAGCGTTTTTTTCTCGGCTACAATTTCAAAATAAACCTTTTTTTTTTTTTTACCGTGTTCACGCGTTTAATCGCTTTTATTTGGGTACACCCATTCTTCTTCTGCTCTCCTTAAAAATACTGTTATTGCTATCATGTAAACTCAATTTTAATCTATAATGATAATTTTTAATTAAAATACATTCATCTTTTAAATATCTTGAAGTAAATTGGTTGTGCTTTTACTTTGAAACGTATAGGCGCTTTCACCTGGCTGCACCTGACGGAACAAGGCAAAAATGAAAGCAGGTGAGACAAAATGTGAAATATTTGGTGCGGACATTTTATAATTTTTCTTCAATGATAAAGTCAGTATCTCAGATGAGGTGAGTTCAGCTGTCAGAAGAACGGGTGTGATCAGGTATTTTAATCAAAGTTTTTCGTCTCATAATAACGCTTCTATTCTTTTTTTTTTTTTTTTTTTTTTTTTTTTTTCTTTCAGAAATGACAGACAATGGAGGATCGGAAAGAGATGATATGTCATTGTTTTGTTCAGTTCCTGATCGCATGAAGCGGACTTAATTTAAGGCGTCTGCGTGGTGTGCCCTGTAAGTAATACGCTTTTAATGTAAGTTGTGATCAATCATGAATTCTGGTGTCCATCAGTTTGCGGGGACTGATGGACCTACAGCAACTTAATCTGAACTTTTTCAATTGGGTTTATATTTTTCAAAAATGAGCTTGAACATATATTTATTGAATGCTTTCCTATGGTTGAGAACACAAGAGAACCACAGTACACTGATATTTATAGTTATAGACAGCCTAGTGCATTATTTATAAAGGGCGCAAAAACATTAATATATAGAAATGATGAATAACAGCCAATAACGATTCCAACAGCAATATATCATGCATCCTTAGAATGGACACAACTTCTATTCCATCCATCCATCCATCCATCCATCCATCCATCCATCCATCCATCCATCCATCCATCCATCCATCCATCCATCCATCCATCCATCCATCCATCCATCCATCCATCCATCCATCCATATGGCTTCCCTTTAAGCGGCATCAGGGATTATCCTCCTTCACAAGCAGCAAAATCTAATTTAGAAATGTGTCCCATATGTCATTGACAGCCAAAGTCCATATATTGAACCTTATATTTCAAAAATGGCAGCAAGAAGGTTCTGGGTTCGATTCCCGGCCCGGGGTTTTTTGCATGGAGTTTGCATGTTCTTCCTGAGCATGCGTGTGTTCTCTCCGGTACTCCGGCTTGCTTCCACAGTCCAAAAATGTTTGTCTCTATGTTGCCTTGCAATGGACTGGCGACCTGTCCAGGGTGTACCCCGTCTTTCGAAAGCTTGCAACACCATTTGGCATTAAGAGGGTCTGAAAATGGATGGATAGATTTATACACTGATTTTTTTTAATCATTTGTGCTTTAATTCTTGCAAGTTTCTTATATTGTACTGTAAGTCTGTGTGGGCCCTTGATTTTACGTTATTACATCATGTTTTACTCACCCATATGAGTTTTGTGTCATTTGGAGCCGTTCTGAAGATATGACATCATACACACTCTGCTTTGTTTAAAAAAAATATAAATATAAAAATATAACCGCGGATGTCAGTGATTCGCCTACATGTTATGAATGCTGACGTACCATAATGAATAAATTATGAACAGTTTAGTTTGTGCCTTCAAGTTGTTGCCCTATCTTCAGAACAGCTCCAAATGACACAAAACTCATATGGGTGAGTAGAACATGATGTAATAACGTAAAATCAAGGGGCCAAATGTAAAAAGAACGGTGTTCCCCTTTAAGTAAAACCGATAAATTTAGATGATGTATTATTTGAAGCATTTGAAGAATGATTAACACAAGCTGTACAGATCCTTGTTTCCTGAAAGAAGATAAATTTTATGGTACATTATCCAAGGTGCATTCTACAGGTGTAAATCCCACCCATCATGTGAATCGACTCAGTATCGTTTTCCTAACCCAATGATTCAATTATTTTCGATACTCAAGAATACACCACAATACGATTTGATTCGATTAATTGGTTCATTTTTTTTTACCTTACAGGCTAGACATGTTTCAAATTTGAAATAAATCAATAAAAGCTGTAATATCGTTATGCATTTTATTTGGGAAACAACAGCAAATAACAGAAGTAGAAAAGTTGCACTCCACCTATTCCTATTAAAACCTCATTCACTGAAAAATAATAATGCCCCTGCGTCATAGATTCTGAAAGGCCTTGCATCAGAAAATACTGCACAAAATCAGTGCAATGAGTGCAATGCAATACCTTGGCTCCAGAGTGTCGAGCAGGTAATCGGAAGCCTTCGTTCTCAACAACCCAATAGGGATATATGTCTGTACATATGAAGAAATCAATTGCCTTGGATATATATTTCTCTTTATTTTCTCTTAAAGGCTGATTTATACTTCGAAAGTAGGTCATCTGCATAGGTGTCACAGTGAACAAAAAGTTGTCCCCGCCCCCTCCGCAGACCCTCCGCTGTAACTCTCCCAAATTGTAACTAGCCGCAGACAGGGCCGCAGACAGGAGGCCGGCTTGTTTTGTTTTTATTACCGAAACTTCGGAAAACAACTCGTAAAGATGGACCAGCTAGAAGAACGAGGTGCACGAGAACACATGGGACCCTTTTTCCTCCTGGATCCCCGCTATTTTTCACCGTCATGTCCCTCCGTTGTCGGACTAAACTCGCCCCCATTTCCTCACCACCTCGACCGTATCTAGACCTAAAGCGTATAGCGCAGACAACGCTTCAATATTGACCGTAAATCAAAAATGTCTGCATCAAGTTCACTGTGACACACTGCTGCAGGAGTATAACCAGGAAGCGAGGTAGGAGGGCAAAATAGGTACTGAATCACGGGAGTCAGAATTACGCCCAGCAGCAAATGGATAAAAATAGACCGGAGGAAAAAAAAAAACATGAGTCACCACTCTTGTGGACATGTCGATGCATTGGATCGTCGGCTGTTGGATCGATGGATCGATAGGACCACTTCTTCATGTATGGTGCATGAGGTTTAAGGCCAAACATATATTTTTTAAACAATCTGTTAAGAATTTAAAAAATATCACAAAAATCTTGTAAAAACAACACCAGAGACAGTTAGCTTACCACTTGGACAATTTTAATTTGCCCGAGATTTTATAGTAAAACCCATCTGTATATATGCTATTGTACATAACTGTAAAAACCCTTTTTATAGTAATATCCACCTGCATATTATATTCGGTACATATCCAGCTGTAAATTTATTTCATAACACTAGTGATCTATATATTATATTCATTATTTATAATTGTATTCATCTCTATAGTGATTCAGTAGAAACCCATGTCCTGTATTTATCGAACCATCATTTATCCTGCACTTTCTGCTATTGCAATTCTGGTTAGACCTAAACTGCATTTCGTTGCCTTGTACCTGTGTAATGACAATAAAGTTGAATCTAATCTAATTTGAGTTTGGTCCAGTGAGGAAAGAAATGGTCTATAGCTTGTAAGGTGGTGAAAATTTAAGTGCACAAGTTTCATGTGAATGCATTTTCTGATGTGTCAAACACTAATTGGTTAAAAAACTTTACAACTAAGTATCAGATTGGTGATTGTTTATATAACAACAGATATGGAAATTCCTGTGTTTAGAAAGATCACAAATATTATTAAGATCAAAGTAAAAATATTCACACAAGTGTAGACCTTAGAAATATGTATAAGAATAACACAATAGTAAAGAGTAACAATAAACAATAAAATACTGTACTGTAAAGTGTTTTAACAATATCAAACTGTGCACCTGGAGAATAAATAACCAATATACAGCTATGGACATTTTTACAGTAATGGATATTTGAAGATTGCAGTATCATCAGAGATGTGCAAAATGACCGCAGCATGTTATTTAATTGACTAAGGTAGAAACTGTGTAAAATTAGCATGAATGTAACAACTTATTGAGGTTGTTGGGAAAAGTGGTGGTTATAGAGTCTTACAGCTGCTGGGAGGAAGGATCTGTGATAACACTTCCTGGTGCATTTAGGATGCAGCCAATGGTGGACTGGGACAAAAAAAATCGGCCCTGTCATTTTGGACTAGACTGGCCCACCATTTTTTTTTTTTTTTGGTGTATTGAATGTGTATACCAACTGTGCAATACCTTGAGGCCAGGTTCATGGAAATTAGTAAGAGTGGACACTTAAAATACTACCAAAATCTTACGTTGTTTATTTACTTTACATCAGAAAATAGTCTGTTTCCATCATCACAATAAAAAAAACAACCATTACCACACAAAAAAACACACACAAACACGTTAAATATTAGGAACCAGTTAGCCATCTTCCTCTACTGAACATAAAACATATCTAATCCCCCACAGAGCCCTAAAAGGCTCCAGATTATTAGTCAGTGTGTAGAAAGCATGCTCCACTCTCAGACGAGCTGCAACCACACCTTTCAGGCTTTGCACCGCATCTGTCCAACCCTGACCCAGCATCTGATTCTTCCTGGTTCTCCAAATGGCTAGTTTAGCCACCCCAAACAAAAAATTAATTAAGACTAATTTCAGTTTTTTCCTCACTGTGTATCTGGGTCCAAAAACAAACAGAGGAAGATAGAAAACCTCCCCCAAAGCTTCCACCCATCCTTTCAAAACTTTAAAGAGACCAACTAGCCGAGGACAACCCACCACTAAGTGATCTAGTGTTTCCCTCTCAGTGCAGAAAGGACAGCCCTCCCCAGTGCCTGGATCCAGGTGAGCTCTTTGTCTGTTTGTGGCTATTGCTCCATGTATAATCCTCCACTGAAGGTCCGCCATCCTTTTCTCAACAGGGGGTTAATACAGGACCCTCCACCTGCCTCGTCTTAGGCAAATACCTCACACCATTTTGACTCCTTCACTTCAGCCAGAGAGTGAAAATTCAGCACTTTCACACAGTTGTAGTACAGCTGCTTCTTCCCACAGGAGCTGAA